GGACCGGAGGCGATTGAGAAAAGCCAGGGGAATCCGATGAGGTCATTTCCTGGTGGTAATGGTCTTCTGGTGTCCGCTCATCACCCGACGGCTTCGTCCCGGAAAGAACGAGGAGAAATTAAATTCTCGTTATCTCTCTTGATGATCTACTGGTAAATTCGAAGGGCCATTCGTTTGGAAATCAGTTTGCATGGGGATTTTGCCGTATTTGGATTGATTTTTCGTTCGGATAAATTTTTCGTTCGCAATCATCGATGGCATCTCCTCGTCGATGGGACTGTGGCGTATTTCACCAGTAGAAAATGGCTCCTGCCAGGAAAGCCCCGGGCAAACGACACAAAATGGAGTTCCGTGTGTTTTCCAGCGGAAAATTCCCAGTGCTTTTCCGCTAGATTAATCCTAATCCTTCTTGAATTCTAATTCACTGAGAGATATTTATCCAAGAATTTTCTTAATCCCGGCGATTCCCTTAATCACAATTGAAATCTCAAGAAAAACCAATTTATTTATCCTCTGGTTTTCCGCTGATTCGACTCGCAATAAGCAAAGAAAAGGGAAATGAGGGCTTAATACGAAAAAAGCAATTATCGGGCTGGAAGAAGGGTGCGAATCGCACATAACGAATGACGGGGGTGATTTCCGTCTTGATTCGATATTGGAAAAAGTGCTCTCGCTTGATGACGCCGCAGGATGTTTGAACAACGAATTTTCACCACTGGGAAATTCCGTAATTCGATTTGTCAAGAGTTAATGGAGTGGAGAAGGGTGTTTGAACGAAAATTTCGCTGATATTTTTTCACTCGAGAGCCTGCGGTAGAAAATGCATTAGATATTGAAAAAACCTTTCAGGGAATATTAACTCTTGAATTCGATTTCTTTATTGTTCGGGTGATTTCAGTGTATAACAATGATGTCGCTTAGAATCCACTCCATGCATGATAATGCTTTCATCTCAGAAATTAAAAACGTGAATTTATCAGTTTTTACCCCATTTCTCCCACAAGTTATGCATTCTAATGAGGTTTTATCAGTCATCATTAGAAAATCCGGAGCCCTTCGTTGTTTTTCACTTCATATAGGGGAGGGTGGGGTAAAATGGACACTTTTTGCTTATTTAAAAATATTCACAAGTCAGAAACAGATTTATCAATTGAGCTCAGTCTAAACTCGTCACACTGATAGAACGGATTAGTTATTGTTAACGAATGGATTTTGGTTGAAGGTTAGGGTCTATTCGGTCCCACCAAATGTTCATTCGTTAATAGTTAACGAATGCATATTTGAGAGGCCTTGTTTGACTTGACTTTCGCCATTCAAGTGAACCATTCGTTAACTATTAACGAATATTCATTTGGTCATATTCAACTCTACCATTTGTTAATAGAAATCAACGAAATTAACGAATCTCGTTTGGAATAAATGAATCATTCTATCAGTGCACAAAGGGGAAGAATTGTCCTTTAAATTGCAAAATAAAATAATTTCATTCCATGAACAATTCAGCACGTCATGAAAATTTAAAAAAAAGCCAAAAGTGTCCATTTTAGAATAAGAATAAAATATGGACAAAATCATTCTCTCTCATAACAGACAACATCGCAGGATCGTCCACAGAGAGGAGTCGATGCAATTGATGCAGTTGCGAATGATTGCGCATTCCGGATCGAGTAAAACGAACGAGATATCTAGAGTGATATCCTGGACATCCTTTGAATTGCTTCAGGGCAATAACAAGTCAAATGCACATTTCACGATAAGCCCAGGCATAACGTGACATTCCAATTCGTGGTGTGGGCCAAGTTTTAGCATGCACTGCTCGTGAAATGTCCATCGTAAAGTGGGGATGAAAAGTGTAAGCGATAGTTAATCTCAGATTTTAGGGGAGGAGTTTTTATTTGTTGTTGTGCAACTGTTATTCGAAATTGGAGCACTTGGTGCCATCGAATTCGGGGAAATGGTGCATTCAATGCATTTCGGAGTGAACATGACTATTTGACTATGATGAAGTATTTTCCAAGGGCTCTCCTCCCATTCTCGGATTACATCGGGATGCCATCATGCTACATTTCGCCCCATTTTAATTTCGACAGATGGATTTTTTTCAGGCAAGAGCATTCATCCTAATTAATGGGGAAAACGCGATTTTTTAGGTTCTGTTATTATGGCCTTTTCCTGGCAGATTCGATTTTCCTTTTTTCAATTCATTGTTTATACACTGTTGGAAATTTTTTGAAATAGCGTGGAAGGTATAGTAAACCTCATGAGAGTAACGTTAAATGGGATTTAGGGAGAAAATGGTTATGATTTCAAGTTTTAAGTAGAATTCACGGAAATTTATGAGTTTTCAGCGGGAGTGAGGGGGACGTGGAACAGCTTGGTTGGATTTTCAGTAGAATGTGAATATTCAGAAACAAAATGATGTAAATATTCAATTTTCTCCTGAATTTGATGAATTTTTGCAGATTAATTGAACTGAAAAATCAAGTGTTTTATCGATTTCCAGATTATTTGAACAGAAAATCGATGGAATATTTGATTTTTCAATGACAAGATTTCCCAAAATTTCAGTGGAACTTGAACACGATAAAAATTTCCGGAATTCGGCACGGAAAATTCCAACGAAATTTTTAAAAATTTTTTTTCTTGACGAAAGTTTTTTTTTCGTGCAAGATATTTTACTCTCGAAAATTTTCAAGCCCCGAGTTTCTTAATACAAGTAAAGCGTACTCCTCAAAAACAGTTTTTATCAGGGCACTTGGCCCACGCACCCCTATGAAAAATACGAATATTCAAATGCCTCGAGATTCTTTTTATCGTAAAAAAAAATTTCCATCTTCCCAATCTTCCCATCTTCTCCTCGCTCACGAAGTCGTTCGCCCCAAGTTGTCAGATAGATTACGCATGATTATCCATAATTACATGAGCTTTTAGATCGAATCGCCAGCCAAAAGTGTGGGTGTGACGTGTGAATTTCGACTCAAGTCAGCCCTTGAGGCCTCCATCCCCCGGAAGCCTGCAGAGGAAAATATTTACATGAAAAGGAAAGAGAAAACAAAACAGCAATTAAGAAATTTGATCGAGAGACCGAGATAGGCCCCCTCGGTACGCAAGGGTCAGCCACCTCGTCTATTAGGAGGAGTGCCCCCCTTGTTTTTTCTGTCGTATTTCATTACTCTGTTGACACCACTGGGACGCGTCGTTTCGGATTTCACCCACTTGAGTTCTCCCGCTGATGCGATCGGTAATGAAAATCAACAGAATATGTTGCGTGGCAAAATGAGTAATCGAAATAAACATCGATCCGAGTGGGGTCAATTGCCTTTATCTGGGGAAACTATCAGTCATTGGGTGGTTGAGGAGCAGAAGGGAGCAAGAGTGCATGTGCTGAAATGCCGAGTGATGGATTAAATGAGAGACTTTCTACTGATTTCGAGGGGAAGATCTTGGAAATTATGGTTGCAGTATTTTAGGTTGTGCTTACTTATTCAGGAGGATGCCTTCAGGGGGAAAGGAATATGTCCGGGACGCGTCTTACGTAGATTTTGCTGTTCCAAAAAATGTTTTATGGAAAAACAAACACGTTGATGGCAGCATGAAGGACAGTGGAGCTCGATATCATTAGTTAATTATTTATTTCTCTTCGTACATGAATTTCTTTTTTGTACATCGAGTCTGTTGGAATATTTCAACACAGCTCTTCTGTTTTTCTTCAAAAATCACTCGACAAGGTTTATGACGTGTTGGGGAAAGTCCCCAGAAAAGGACTAATTTATGATCCGTTGTGCTCCGAACTCGAGAGCGTTGCAATCCTTACCACATGTAGAAATTCAAAGGAAACTCTGTCCTCTGGAGTCATAAACTTTGTCTTGCTTTTCCCTCAGTAAAGGTTTTTCAAATAGTTAGAATTTAGTCTCTGGACAACGGTCCTCTAGTACAGTCGTGCCTTCCTCGTGCCAATAATAAAGAGTTCAAGTTAAAAGTATTCATTGCGTTACTACATTTATTTATCCACTTTGTTGGAATTCATGCCTGAATACAAAAATTAATTTCTTAGTTTAGTTAAACATTTTCTCTTTTCCACCCAAACACTCAGGGTGACATTTATGGCTTTTCTTAGAAAATAGAGACGTGAAGAAAAACAGTCCTCATGGTGAGTCACAAAGGAGAGGCTGAAGAAAATTGAAACAAGGGCCTTTTGTCAAATGGGTCCAGAGAGTGAAAACTCTCATGACTTTTAGTTAGTCGTCCTAGAGACTTCGTTGGAGAAAGATATACCTTCTGCGTGCGATCATTAAAGAGTTTTACTTTGAAGAATAAAACTAATGTGTTTTTATTGAGTATTCCTACACATAATCCAATACACTTTTACCCATATCCCAATAGAGTCACATATGAAATTGGAAATATCAGTTTTGGTCTTCATATTGCGCGGAGCTCGATATATCCTTTCGAAAAAAAGCAGAGAAAGCGAGGCGGTTTTCATGAGTGCAATATCGTCTTGCGCCGAATTTTCATGAAGCCCTGTAGCGAACGGAAGAGAACTGAATGCCATTCTATGAGACATGAATACACGAGTCGTAGTTGTCGAAATCATTTAGGCTAGAGGAAAATGGAATAATTCTACTTTCTTAATATTGATTTGGGGGGAATGGGAGGGAAATGTCGGGGAAGAAACGTCGGTGAACCCTTACGATGATCTTGATATACTATTGAACTGAGCAGCTGAATAGAGGAGTGCAGAAGCCATTTGAAAATCCACTCCACTCAGGACAGCCCGGAGAAACAACTGTTAGCAATAGGCGGCGGATTTTCCCCCTTTGGAAGCTCAAAAAAAGCTGGCGAGAGAAATATCCTTTTGAATAATTCAATACCTTCTTTACCATGGCATTCCATCAGGAATTGTCGGCAGTCCGCGCAGGTGTCCTCAGGGAGGGAGAATAGTTCTCCCGAGTGAAGTGGGGAGCGCGATACAAAATTCTCGTTCAGTTGAAACGCAGCGTCGTGCTTACGCGGTAACCGGTCGAAAGCTCCGCGGAGCATGTGAAACACTAAGTGATACATGAATGCGCGTTATGGTAACCTGTTGACAGTGCTCGTAAATTTGTTCGCTCATCCTTAACGGGCGTCAGGAGTTCTTGGAGATGGGTAAATATTTAATTTTCTGGTGTAAGCCTCCTGCTCGGGGGAAAAAAAATTGGAGGGTAATTAGCAAAAGTTCTGTACAACTTATTCTGTTGGAAAGCCGAAAGCAGAAATTTCTCAAGTCGAATTTTCAATTTTTCGACTTGATTTTTGCAATGAAAAGGGAAGAAACGTTGAGGAAAAAAACTTGAAATATTTATGACGAGGAATTCTCTCGGAAAATGTCTCGATGGAAACAGTTGTATAGAAAAAAGAAATTGTATTGATTATTATGTTTACATGATTTTTTTGTTCCATTTTTTTTATTAAATTGGGAATTATATTTTATGTAATTTGATAGTAAAGAGTTTTGAAATATTTCTCTCAAAATTTCATTTGAAAACTTGGAAAATTCATGTTGAGGAATTTTTAGAGAAAATGGCTCAATAGAAATAGTTATGTAGAATGAAGAAATTCTACTGATTGTTACGCTGACCTGAATTTTTCTGATTTTTATTAATTTTCGTGGACTAATTGAATTCAAATTAGATTAGTCAAAAACGTCATAAACATTTTTCTGTGGCTCGAGAGATCCACCACAAAATAATCGTGACTTTGTTCTCTCAAACTAGTAATTACCGAGATAATTTTTAATTCAACAATTAAAAATGTGAAAAAAAACCCGTTCAGCTAATTTCCTTGGGCGATTATTCCCTGAATAAGAGATCACTTTTTTTAACGATTAGTTTTACGTAAAAATATTAACAGGCATTGCTTGCAGCCAAACAAATCCTGGCAAAAAGTTTCTCTCAAAATTTTATCATAAAGTCATTAATTGCCAGGATAATTCCGGCTGCAACAAAAATATTATGATTCGAAACACGAAACCTTCAATTTCCACAAGTAATTTACATTTTACGCTCCCGTGAACTCTCCCGCATAGTGAAAATTTCCCCGGATATTCAAACCCGAGACTAAATGTGGAAAATAACATCTTGGTCTGAGAAAATACCCCCGAGCATACACTTTTACGACTGCAGCGAAATGTAGAGATTAACGTGCGTATTTTCACGAGATGCGGTGACATAACCATTTCCCACCTGCCCCTTGGCTTCACTATTCATCACTTTATTTCTCCGCTGAAAATCCAAGTGCATTATTAGTGCGTGCACTGTAAAAACTCGTATTTTCAAGACGTCTCAGTCTAAGACAACTTCGTGATGACTGAAATTTCGAATGTCTTAAAATGAGACGTTTTCTGCCTCTTAAAAAAATTAATTTGTTAAGTTGAATTAACTGAATTCAACTTCACAATTTTTTCATCACAAATTACTTGAATTTAAAAAAAAGTCCAAGTGTGTACTTTTTTCGGTGTAAGAATTCGATTTTATATGACCACTCATACTGCGTCTTAAAAACGCCTTAATTTGAGACATGAGACATTAAACGGTCTCTATAATCCAATTTGCACGGAAATACACAGAGCGGCAGAGGGGGGAGGCGCTCTCGACTCTCGTCTCGTCTCGTTCCTCTCATTGTCTCGGATGACTCTTCTCGTCTCGTCATGTCTCTCGTCTCGTCTCGTCTCGTTCGTCTCGTCTCGTCTCTTCTCGTTTCTCTCGCGTCTCGCGGCATCACTTGGCATTAGATTTACAACATGAAGAGCGAATGCGACTACCGCAATTAATGGAATCATCGAATAACAGGGAAATTGAATGTAATTCAATCGAGAGAATCTGCGTTGTGAGGAGGATAATTGGAGCAATAAACGCTGATTTAGAGGTGTAATGTGGTACGTGTCGTATCACTACCCGGAAGGGACACCAATTGACGTACGTAAATCACCTCCACTCGGATCATATTCGAAGCGATTCGTATTGAATGCATGAAGTGATGAGTTGTAGAAATCGATTGGGGGGCAGGGAGGGGGGGGGGAATTACGGTGGGGATTATCCACCAGTGTTGACGGATATCACGGGGATAACACCTCTCTGGTATGCCGGGTCACGTACTGTCCGAAAACAGAAAATTATTTCATTTCTTGATTCGAAATTTCCTTCCCGAGGGGATTCATTGCAAATAGCCCACCGTTGGTTTATGGTGAAACAAATAAAAATAAAGGACAGTGGGATAAAACGGGCTGTCTTCAACCGCCAATAACTTGAAGTTTTTTTTTCATTTTCGAGGTATTTTTTTTTAGTTTGAAAATGAGACTTGCGTCATCTAAATTGAAGCCTTTGTTCAATAAATTTTGATGAGTCACTTTGTGCGAAAATTTTGGGAATTCGTATTCTACGAATTCCGCCCACAATACGTGTGATTTCATTTAATTATTGATTTTTCATTGCTATTTTCAAACCCACACGGCACAGATTCAGAGCCATTCAAACAGACTTTCAGGAATTCGCGCCCACTCTCATAAATGTTAATTAATATTCTGGAAGTAAAACATGGAATTTCCCGATTCTTCGTTTATTTATTTTTATTTTTGTTTATTTTCGTTTTTTTATTTTTGTATTTTTTAAGCTTGAAAGTTCAGTTTCAATCTCAACAAAATCTGTAGATAAATTTTGATTTATCTGTAGATAAATGAAGTCTACACCCTAAAAAATGGTTCATTTGAATTGAATCAATTTTATTAAAAATTTATTCAATTGAAATAAATTTTTCTGCGTCTACAGTGCATATATAATTGGCCTAGACTGTTGGGTTCTCAATAAATAAATAAATTGCAAACAAAAATATTTTCAGAATTGTGAAATTCCGCAGAAAAATACTATTCATCACTCATTTGAATAGGAGTTTTCTCTATTGTTTCGTGGAATTATGGACAAATCATTCTCATAAATTTTTACTGAATGCATTTCTGCATTAACCATTTTCAGAACAAATCGTGTTGAATGGTACCTCACAACAGTACTGGGGATTAAAATTCACTCAAATCCCTCATTATTTAAGACACGAAGATGAATTGCGAATTGGGGATTGCAAAAGACTGGAGTAATTGGCAGTTGAATTCAGTGAATGCCGTTTTGAACGGTTCCTTTCAACGTTTTGTTGACATCAACACAATTTCAGGAATGGGGATTCCCCATCCGAGGGGCCATTCATGGATTGGAAATCCGGTGACACAGTGATTGCCGATTTCACGTGATTTCAGGGAGATTTCCAGTGATTTCAGATTTTCGATTTCATCTCTGTTGAGGTGGAGGAGGGAATGGGGTCCCAGAGGGATCCCAGAGGGACAGAAATGCGTCATATTAAAACAAGAATGTAGGGATGAAACCGTCAGGGTGACGCCATGAGGATCAACTATATATTTTTCTGTACTGACCTTCACTGTTCCCAGTCCGGGGATTGGTATTGACCCTTCCCCGAACGGGCAAAACTAAATGTCACTGCGGAAAATATCCTTCACGACTAGTGCCATGAGGTTTTTTTTCCCGCCTCAATCGCAATGAGTTTGAAGGAAAGCAATAACATCTTTTTCTTCTCTCAAACTTATTTTGTCTTTTCAGGAATATGAACTAATTAACAGTATCATCCTCCTTTTGCTCGCAGAACACCGATTTCCTGTCCGAAACCTAGCATGAATTGCGGTCGAATATGCATACCATATTTTCCACTCAAGAAATAATTTAGTCACGTTATGTAGATTTTTCTGTCAGTGTATTAAGAAGGGTCTCATGAGTTGTTGATTTCATGGAATCGCCAGAAATCGACGAAATCTCAGGATTTCACAAATGAACGGCCCCACTACGTCACATCCCTCCCGCAAAGCTTTCATGCCAGAGACAGCCCGAGAAACAATCCCCGACGATGGACAACTGCGTTGTATCCAATCTTTAATGCACTCCATAATGACATACATCTGAACAATACGAGCCCCAGTTTTAATTAATTGGAGTGAACCCCCGTTGGGTCACGCAATGCGCTCGGTTGGATTCAACTGGTCGAATGTCCAGTTGACTATTCAATTGAATTGTCAGTCAGGATTGACAATGATTGATCTGGAGAGGCAGGCACACAGTAAAAATTGACACCTGAATTTTATCCACTTTTTCCTTTTTGCACAACAGGCAAACACACTGTTGGAATATGGGATGCAGGTTATGGAAGTAAATAAGTTGAATCAGTTTAACCAGAGCAATGATACCATTTATTGGAGACGTGCTTTCTCTCTGAGAGCCGTCGAGGAACTAGACTCAAAATCAAATAACTAATAAGCAATACGCATATCCACCACAAAGGGGATAAAGGAGAACAGTCGTTTCTTTCATTCTCTTGAGTTCATCATTTGTTTATATGACGCTAAATAAACAATCAGCTTCAGAGAGTCGTATAGACCTCCCAAACATCTACTCTCTCATTTATACCAACTACGTCACTCTTGATAATTTAATTAATTATATTTGTATATTTCAACACACACCGATAGAAAGGATTAGAAAGAATTAGGGGAGAGTGGGGTAATACGGCCCCTTTTGATTTTTTCAAAAATGTTAGCAGCCCATTCAATTTTAAATCAAATAAAATAATTTTTTTTCCATGGAAACCACACTTCTTCCCCTTTACAATGAGCCTAGACTGATCTCAATTAATGAATTTGTTTCTGAATTATGAGTATCACAAAAAATGCCAAAAGGGGCGTTTTACCCCACTCTCCCTTAGTTATTATTAACGAATGGATTTGGTTGAAGCCTAGGACCTATTCGGTCTCACCAAATGTTCATTCGTTAATAATTACCAAATGCACATTTGAGGAGTTTTGTTTGACTCGACTTTCGCCTTTCAAGTGAACCACTCGTTAACTATTAACGAATGGTAGAGCTGAATATGACCCAATGAATATTCGTTAATATTTAACGAATCTCATTTGGAATAAATGAATCAGTCCATCAGTGCACGCTACTTTTTTTGTTCAACCAGGTTTTCATTAAAAAAAATACAGTCCTTATTTACAATATTTACATTCCTTAAAAACTAGTATCAAACAAATCCTACGAATTCTATTCTATTCCGTAGAAGTACCCAAAATAATGATGAAGGGTGAAATATATAGGGGAGGATGGGGCAAAACGGCCCCCCTTCAATCGTCAATATTTTCCGATTCAATAATCCGATTGGGATGAGTTAGAGCTCGTTTTGAAGAATGAAAAATTATCTTCAAAATGAAGTTGAAACTGGGAATTTTCACAATGTCATTCACAAGTTATTGACAATTGAAGGGGGGCCGTTTTGCCCCACCCTCCTCTACGTTATAATTTGCCCCGCATCCCCATTAAAGAGCTGAACCTACAATTAAGCAGCCATACACATGTGATATATCAGACCGTGAATGATTGAAAATAAACACGAAACCTATGAATAGAGCGTTGAGAGCTAACAATCCACTTGATGCCTCGAGTTAGCGACTAGTTTGTGGATATTGAAGCCACCGTGGAGGCGCAATTAGTCACCCCGACGGGTATTTTGCGATTGAAATGGAGCAATTCAATTTCAACAAACGCATTAAAGCACGCAGGAGGATGACAAGAGCGATGCAATTGATTTTCCGAACACACAAGTGCCATCCCTCAGAGCTGTCAGGAGGTGCTCGAAGCGACAAATGACATTAGCATTCGACAGTGCGAGCCTTGTTCCGGATATTTCCTTTGATTTGATCCGTCTGGAGCGGTTTATTAAATCAGTCGGCAAGGGGTGAAATGCTGAAAGAGACATTCGGGCTTGTTGCAGCGGAAAAAATTACCCTAAACGCTCGCTTTGAGGAGATAATGGCAGGTCTATTACTGGAAAAAGTAGTGAGTGAAGTTGAGACACTTTTGTCCCCTTTTTTGAGACGTTTGTGGGAAATTAAAAGGTTGAGACGTGAATTCTAGACGTTCCTGGCGTCTTTGTCCAGGATCTTGGTGACCCTTCCGGGCAGCGATACAACATGTACCACGTTACACCTCTAAATCAGGGTTTATTGCTCCAATTATCCTTCTCACAACGCAGATTCTCTCGATTGAATTCAGTGGCGAAGTGGTAAAACGGTATAAGTCAATTTTGACTGTTGACCAGTTTTCAATGAATATCTGGGAATCTAAGGGAGATAGCGAAAAGTTTATTATAACCTTTTTTGTAGAGCAGATTGACAGCTGCAAAAAATGTAATTACGAAAATTTCGCTATCTCCCTTAGATTCGGAAATATTCGTCAAAAACTCAACTGGGAGATGAGTCGACTTCAACCGTTTCACCACTTCGCTAATGAATTATATTCAATTTCATTTTATTCGATGATTCCATCAATTACGGATTCACGATTTTTCACTTGAAATTCCAAAAATAACGTTACAACTGTGAAATTTGCAGTCTCCTGTTGCCTGAGAACCCTTAACAACCATTTAATCACCCAAAAATAAACAAATTCGTCCAATAAAGCCGACGAAATTACTCGTCTCCTCCAACTTAATTGTGATATAAGAAATAGAAAAAATTTTTTTTTACGTTTTCCACATACTGTTGAGAGTTCTGGACCGCCCGTCACTTGAATAGTCGGAATCGACTTTCACTCGGCGGAAAAATTCGACTTTGCCGAAAGTCGACTTTTCCCCTGAAAAAATCCTAAATCTGACACTTTGGCCTCGGGTGAATTTTTTTTTTTTATTTTTTACTTTTCCCACATACTACTCAGAGTTCTGGATAGCCCGTCACTTGAATAGTTGAAATCAATTTTCATTCGGCGAAAAAATTCGATTTTTCCGAAAGTGGATTATAAAATATTAGATAATACAGACTAAAAGAGATGAAAAAATAATCCTTCAGATGATTCCTTTAATAATAATTCTGAAATTATGTTTCGAGAGTATTAACATTAAAATATAAAAAGTTGTCCTCCGACGCTGGAATGATGTCAGAAAAAAATGTCGCAACACGTTTGACAAATTTCTCCAGCCAAGCCTCGTCATTCCCGGAATAAATTAACAATTGAACAAAAAATTTTGAACTATCGGAATTGCGTTTCAGGATTAAACATTTCACACCCCGAGCTTCTGAAAAGTTCACCGAAAATTGTTTACCCACATGGAATACCAAATCTCCCTCTCACGTCTAGCAACCACTTTATTTAATCTCCCCTTTTTCCCCGTTATATTTCAGGAATGGGGAAATTTACCCGATGATACCCTGGGGTCTGCGATGCACTCCACCTGGATTCCTCTCGACACCCAAAAATATTCGTTGAATAATTACAGCTTGGATTGCCACATTGTCCTCCATCGCGTAATGCTATTCCTCAAAAAATTGAATACGAAAATCTGAGTACATACCATGAAAACCCGAGGGAACGCCGTGACATTCCAATTCTGCTCTCAACGGAGGTTTCCGTCTCTCTGAAATGTATTTCCATGAATACTGATACTGAGTTATTCGATATAAACCACGTTGTTTCCCGAGAGACAAAGCATGTGAGTTCACATGACATATCTGTGAGTTTCTCTTGTGTTTTGGTTGTGCAAAGGAAAATATTCTCGAGTTACTTAAAATATTTTCCTCAGCTTTGAATATTTTTTCTTATTTTTTATTGAGAGAATGTTTTGGTTGTTTGAGAATTCAAATAATTTTCTGTCCAACGGGAGAGACGAGGGAAATGATCACTCCACTCGTCTCTCCCATTCTACCCAAAACAACATTTCCCTAATGCCAATGAAAAAAGAAAGTTGATATAATTGATTTAAAGTGCTGAAATCTATAAAAGAGATTTATTTACACTGTCGATGCTGTTGAATTAGTCCACGTTGTTAACATTTGAATATTTCCATAATTTCCTTATAGTTGACAATAAGGTATTTATACTTTTATTTTACATTCTTTTAGGTATTTACATATTTCTCCTATGTAAGTATGGTCAGTTGCATCCGCAAATTTCTTAGTTGTGGAAGGCGGAGTAAAAGTGGAGTTCCTTAGTCGTAGTAACAATTTGTTTCTTTGGTTTTTATAATTCGGGCAGTGCCATAAAAAAAAAGTTATCTAAATTTTCCTCAACACCTTAAGGATGTTCGACACCCTTTTAGCCAAAATTGACGTTGTTTTCATTTTTCTGGCAAATTATCGATGGGAGTGACGTGAAAAAATATAACGATTTTGTGGTTTGTCATTCTTTAATGGCTCACGAAGTTGCGTAGTGGTGCGATAATTTTCATGCGTTTTTTCTACAGTTTTGTGATTCTTTTTAAAAGTTTAGAGAAAACGCAGGAAAATGTTCGCACCACCTTAAAATTTCGTCATTCATTAAATAATGACAAAACGCAAAAACGTTTTTTTTTTCACGTCAATTCCATCATAAGTTTGTCAGAAAAATTAAAAAAACGTGAATTTTGGCAGAAAGGGTGTGGAACATTCTTAAATTTGATTCCACCTGATTATCGAGTCCCCCGACTGACCCTCCACCTCGTTCTTCTAGCACTGAAGATGCTCCCCCATTCATCATCAGCCTGTTGAAGCCCCCAGCCTCCAGGATGCAATCTAAAAAATGCTTCCTCACGGAGCCGAGACTAATCACTCACTCATCCTGAATGGGACCTCATCATTATTGGAACTTGGTATTCTCCTGCGAAGCGACACAGCCATGCATCACCTGAAGAATTACACCCACATTCTGGACAGTTTCAACATAACCGAGGAGGACCTCGACTACATGAACAACTACAGTGCCAATGCCATCAACAATTACCAAACAGTTTGCTACTGCAGTGGATACATTCGTCAGCTAGCTCTCTCCTACCGTCTCTATCACGGATATGTTGCTCTCATCGTCTGCTTATTCGGCACTGTCGCCAACATCCTCAACATCGTTGTCCTCACGCGGAAAGATATGGCGGTGGCACCGATCAATAGAATACTCACTGGACTTGCAACAGCTGACATGTTCGTCATGGTTGAGTACATTCCATTCGCCGTTTACGAGTACTTGATACTACCTGAGCACCAGAGATTCCCGTACTATGGCGCGGTTTTTGTACTCTTTCACATGCATTTTGCTCAACTGATGCATACCATCAGCATCGCACTCACTCTCTCGTTGGCACTTTGGAGATACATCGCTATCAGGTAATCGTAATTTTTCGGTTTTGCAGTTTTTCCACTCTATTTTTGGGATTTTTTTTATTGAAAAAGAAAATAGGGGGCCCATATGACCCCCATGGGATCCCCTTTCGACCGTCATGATCCGTATTCTGATCCTTGTGACCCTTAATCCGACCCTCATCACACCCCTCGTGACCCTTATTGGGGCCCTTAAGCCGAACCTTGTGACTCAAATTTTCAACATCAAAAATCGATTTGGATTTTTATAATATAGAGAGATACATTAGGACCCTTAGTTTGATCTTTGTGACCCTTAGTTTCTGACCCCGTGACCCTTAGTTGGACCCATAAGCCGACCTTTGTGACTCAAATTTTCAACACCAGAAGTCGATTTGGATTTTTATAATATAGAGAGATATATTAAGAGCCTTATTTTGATCCTTAATCTGACCCTCGTGATCCCTACTCTGACCCTCATAACCCTTAACTTCGTGCACCAAATTTTCATTTTTATAATATATTTTTATAGTATAAAGAGTTTCAACAAGAAAAATTGCAAATTTGATCCGACGAATTGTTATCAAAAATAGTTCAATAGAATAAGTTTCTGTTGAGTATTTCATCTTTGTTAATAGTTAAATTTCCTCAATAATGAGTAGTTTTATGTAAAAATATCATAGAGCACAATTTATTGATAATTTCACCAGGTACAAAAAAGATCTATTCACCTTTTTCTCCAAAACCACTCATTATCGAGATAATTACACATTCAAAAAAGTGAAATGTAAAAAATTCACCTTTTTCATAAATACAGAATTCATTTATAGATCAAGAGCTTTAGTACTTCGCGCGTTATTCATTGTCCGCGACAAAGGTCCGTGCGTAATAAAATGGAATGGCATTTTAAAGTTTTTACTGTTTTGCTTTCCATATCAGGTGCGCATTCCCATTCACGTGACATAAAACTGGAATTTTTCTCTCTCCTCTTGTGATCCGTATTTAATTCTTCGAGGCGTCACGCACGTCACTGGAATTTTCGCCTCCATTCCAGTCGGTATTACATCCACATGAGTCTTTGGAATTTTTGTGTACGCGGAAATGATGATTAATTATTAATTAACTAATGCATGTGTACATTTGGAAACAATCCCGCAGTCATTCTCATCTTGATAATCGATGAATTCTCGCCTAGGAGATGGTTTCGCAATAATCTTCAATTAGTTGTTAAATTTCGACAACGACACGTATGAAAAAATTTAATAGAAAAACCTCGAGCTAAAAAGCCTAGAGAAAATTATGGAAAAACCCTAGCGTTTTCTCTTAGAAATTCTATTGAATTTCTGTTGGAATTCTATACGAAGTCTATAGGAATTCTATTGCAATTCTATTAAAAATTATGCAACGTCCCCTCGCGTTGTTGAATCGATATTTGTTTAAAGAAAAATGCCAGTGTTACAAGAATTTTTTAGAGAAAGCGCTAGGTAATTCATTTTTTCAACGACTAGTCATTGAAATTCACCAAATAATTTTCTCCGTGTAATTTTCTTTGCCACGATTTTTTAAATGAACCCAGAAGGAGGAAAATGGGGGGTGATTGGGGGGATCACTGTGATTGGGGAGATCTGTGATCGACGCTCGCAACGTGGCATCGACTATGCAAATTCATGTAATCTCGACGTACATCTGGGGTTAGCTATTGGACGCGGCTCAAGTGATCCAGAATGTGGGCTTAACGAGCTTTACCGCACCCTCTTACCTCATGTGTATCGTGTGTACGCAGTGTATTAGCAACGGTGACTCAAACATTGGGGTTTCTAATTAATTGGATATTGCGTGCATTATGACTAAAGTGGAGGGTCAATTTTCAGAGAAAGTGGTCATAAATTTTTAAGTCAGACGCGAAGAGTTCGATTATGTGGATTATGGCGGTGAGGAAATTTAATTTTGAGACATGTTAATATTCAGATGATATTATTATTCAATTAAGAAAATGAAAAACATGATGAAGATTGTAAATGCGTTACCTTGTAGAATTTAATTTATTTTCAATTATCAATGCGGACGATTTTTCTTTACACGAAATTACGCGCTTTTAGTATATAAATATTATTTTCAAGTACAATATATAATTTTATGTTTATAGCAATGTTAAACAGGACAAAACATTATTCCAATTAAGAATTAATATTGAGAAATAAAAACAAAATAAAATATCGAGAAATTTTTTTAAATTTCTTGACGAAGTGATGATAACTTTTTAAGTCAGACGTGAAGGGCTCGATTATTAGGGGATTATGTCATTAAGGAGTGGGTCCGGGAGAGAATGTCAAAAAATTTTTTTTCCAGATGAGAAGATTATCTCGAGAAAATCTCTATTGACGTTTCGCCTTAAAATCCCCCGTTACCGACTTAATCTCGTAATTATTTACGAGACGTGAATGGATGGAGTCCGGGGGAAATTTCCTGCGAAAAACTATCTTTTTACAATTTCCGCATGGAAAAAACTGGGAATACGGTATAATTTTCGTACTCCCGCGATAAATAAAAAGCGTGAAAAATCTTCTCGCCGATGAATTACAAAACCCTTCCATCTTCCAACTGGTTTTAATAAATTATCATTAATTTCACGGTATTCTTACCCCCATTTTCACGCTCCTGATAGATTGCTCCCCAGTATTACCGTCGACCAGCGAATAATTAATTATGATTTAGTTATAGCTCAGCCCTCAACAACAAATTCATCCACCACACTGGGCCAAAAGATCGATGAAAACGTTCATCCCCTCACCCTTCACTGTCAGTTTCTCACGAAAAACCATCACAGTATATTCAATAGAACCTATTTGACAGAAAAAATCGTCACAATTTCATTTTTTGCCGCAACTTTTTCCACCGAATTCGCCGGGTTTTCCTGGGAAATTTTTCCGCAGGTGACAAATTCCCGGAGACTCCCGAAGCTCCAACATGAGGACAGTTGTCTAAGCTCCCGTAATTTATTCTCCCTTGATTCATCGCAGTGAGAGCCAATATCCCCGGAGATTTATAGGAATCGAAAGTTTCTGAAGATTTAAACGCGAGAAGTAACAGAAAAACGTAATGAATCCATCCGTCAATCGACAGGGGCAAACATTCATTTGACTCCAACGGAAATTGCTTGAGCCCACTCCTCTCTCCCACCTCCCACTGACTGCTTCATCGTTTGAAACTAATTGCTGGATTTAAGGACTTCCTCCAAGTACTTACAAACTTGCAGGTTTTCCCATCTTTTCAGAGGAAGGTTATTGAGGAATAAATTAATTTCCACCTGAGCCCGATTATCAGGCTCACAAAAAGCACTTCAAACTTTATATTTATGTTCGAGAACTGTCAGAACTATACACAACATTCAAGACAATAGGTGTCCCGTGAATTTTCTTTGTTGTGCAGAGCGTGCAGATCTTTCTGCGGATGAAAGTCGGGGGGATTCTCCAGAACAAACGGAGAACCATCAAGACGTCTTTTACAAAGTTTCGCGCATCCTTCACGATGTTCCTATGCTATGATGTTTTTTTTGGAGATCACTCGTGCCGAAGAATCCGATGTAATGTCTATTCAGGCAAATGAAAATACTGAAATAATGGAATTGTGCCGCGGAGATGTGAGAGGGCGACCAATTCCTGTAGGAAATGTTTTTTTTTTTAAAGTAGCGAATTCGACGGACAATTCTATTGGATTTTTGTAGAACTTCATTTGAAAATTCTATTATTTTCTAGAAAAATCGGTAGAATTTCATCTTTCTGTTCAATTTTTGACATTGAGACATTTTCTATAGACATTCCTTGAATGAATTTCCATTCCATTCAGTAGAATGGATAATTATTGAGAATTTTGATGGACGAAGATTTTGTCAATGGATTATTCGATTGAAATTCAGCATGACATTTCCTTTTTCCCCCTCTGGGTCTCCCCCTGGGGTGTGCTCTCATTTTCTTTTCAATTAATCCATTGACAAAATCTTCGCCCGTCAAAACTTCTCAATAATTTTCTATTCTGCTGAACGGAAAAGTATTATTCTCATCAGTACTCCCAAGAATAAAAAAAAGTTGATAAAAAAATATTTAACAAAGAAAAAATTTTGCTTGAATTACGTAAAACTGTAATTTTTTTGACAGTTTCATTTTGCCCCACTCTCCCCTACTTTAAATCCCACGAAGAATCCCATAGGAGTAAGACCTCTCCCTTCCGGCTGATAATCTGAGCATGAAAATAATCCATTAAAATTCCTGGAAGAAAATGTAACTTTCCCCGTAAGCAATATCCTCCTTTCAAGCCAGAGTAACGAGGTGTACTATTATAAAGGATAATTTTACACCATCGAGTAACAAGAACACGATAATACTCACTCGCGATCTATATTTCAAGATGAAGGAAGGTGAGACGTTCGGGAGAATGGGGAGCTCAGATGCACCAGAGAGAAAAATAGTGAAAATACTAAAAAAAAATATGTCTTTCTCACGGGATTGTGTGCCCAGCTCGATGTGATACGTTGAAGACTCTCACCGTGTTCTCAGCTACAATGGGAAAATTTTCTCTCGACAGCGACAAACATTCCAGCATCGTCTGATGCATCTTTCAGCTGTGCAGAAGTGTGAAAATTTCCATTTCCAGTTTTCTGATTTTATGATTTTATTTGTCTGACCACAAAGTCGAGGTAAATTCTAATTCGATCCACAATCCTGGGCCACATGATTTTTTATAATTTATTTATTTCTTCGTTGATTAATTCAGTAGTGAAGCGGTAAACCGAGTTAAGTCCATTTTGACTATTAGCCAGTTTTTGCTGAATATCTCGGAATCTAAGAGAGATAGCCAAATTTTTCTCATGACTTTTTTTATACCGCTCTATTGGCTCTACAAAAAAGGTCATGACAAAAATCTTTCTATCTCTTTTACATTCCGAGATATTCGTCAAAAATTAGCCAATAGTAAAAAACGACTTAACCCGGTTTACCGCTTCGCTACTGAATTTATCAAATAATTAATCAATTTATTAATTTATTTTCTAAACAGAAAATTTGGAAACATTTGTATTTGAAAAAATTCGATAGAATTTTGCATCGCAAATTTTCTTTTTCGATTTGTTACAGATTTCCACAGTATAACCACGCCTGGTGTACAGCCTCACGCTGCAGATTGGCGCTGTGGTGTAGCTTCATAACTCCAATGTTCGCCTGTGCCCCAAGTTTTCTGGTATTCGAAGTGAGTAGAATTGCACGCACGAAATAATGTAACAGAAAAACTTGAGAAATTCATGTCAAGAAATTTCTACCGAAAGCGTCTCAATAGAAAAAGTTGTATAAAAATCTGAAATACTTCGGATTTTTCTATAAAATATTTTCTACTGGGGATTTCCTATCAAAAATGCGGTGTGAAGCTGCGGAATTCTTCAGCAGAATCGGCCAAAAATAATCGAATTTTCACCAGAAACCCACCGGAACTTTCTTCTCGCGTCGCCTTAAGAAAATTATTCTATTCTGTTACTTGAGAACTGACGGAATTTCTTCATTTTATCCGACAATGTCTAATCCCTTCAGCGTAATTACCATAATCCCGAGAAGCAAATGGATGAATCCTCTTAAGGAAACAACGCAAAATCCTGGTGTATAGTCAACCTAAATGAGAAAAGATGTGATGCTCTCACCCACAGATACACAAGCAGCCGGTTATAGAGCATGGTAAGGAGGAGATACTGTACTATGTTGATGCAGCCAGTTACTCGGGAAAGGGCGTCCTGTATCAGCTTAATTTCTGGGTGTTGGCAGTGGTCGTGAAACTCCTGCCCTGCCTCATCCTCACCGTCATCAGCTGTTGGCTGATAAAGGCGCTCTACAAGTGAGTTACTGGTCCTATTTCTTCCGCTAATATCCTTCGCGTCTTGAGTGAAGTCTTGCGTTGTTGGTGTTATTAAATTTTAACGACTGGAGCGAAGAGAAAAGTGCAAATTGAAGAGATGAGAAGAGGTGATTTCAGGGTTGTTGATAAATACTGAAGAATGTATTTCGCATTTGGAATTAATGCATTGATAGAATGTATTAATGACGGATGCAATTGTGTTTATAATTTCAATATTTTTGTCACTCTTAAAATTCGAAGTAGCTATTGTTATCTTGTAATCTTCAATTTCGGTGGATCAATGGTTTAAGTCTGAACATTGTTAACATGTGGGATCATTGTCAAGAGTCAGGTTTGATAGCAAAAATGGTTAAACTTCATAAATATTAAAATTTTTCAAACTTGCAAGTATCGGCGAATAAAATATGCTGTAAAAACAAGTACCCTCTAAAAACTGCTTACCAAGTAGATGACTTGTCAACTTCCACCCCTTCACATCTGAAATATCCACAGAGATCTATGGCTTTGCATCGATTCCACTCCAACACTATCATAAAAGAAGTCCACTAGAAGCTCTCTTTATGTTACGCATAAAGCGCATAAAGTTCAAAGTGTAACGTCGAACTTCTTCCTCCCTTCATGAATAATTTCTCAACACCAACACTGATCTCTCTTTTAACTCCATTTTTCCTCGTGAAGGGGAAAAGGAAAGAGCAAATTCAAGGAGAGAATATAATGGATTTGATACTCTGAAAGTCCAAGGTATAAAAAATTGAATTTTTCGGAATGGGAAAAGTGCGAGGATCCGTTTTCCCCCAGAGGCTCAACTTCCTTCCAAATTTAATATTGTATCCCGAGTATCGAGGGTATCTGTTTCACTTTCGGATACTCAATCTAGTGGAGATAATGGTGTAATGACATGAGAGGTCTAAAAGTTGTTTGGACCAACAATATGTTTTCCCGATAAATAAAAAGGCAGGAATTTTTTTAGGCAACCGAACTGGCACCCAACAATAAAATGAAATTGCCGGGTGAGGGTTTGTATTATTGCATTATTCGTTCACATTTCGATCATTTAAAAGAGATTCCGTCCACCGAAAAAAAACTCCCGCAAATTTTTTCCGTCTCCGCTGGCCTCCGAAGCCGCCCACATTCTTCAGAAACGAATTTAAAAAACGGAAACTCTTTGAATGGTAAAGACTTGTTAATCATCCGCCATTTTTTGATGTCAACATATTCTTCATCTCCTCCGTATACCTCTCATCCACTCTTCATATCCCCAAGCCACTGCACTCAAGACACCGAATATCACCTCCTCACTCATCAAAAATTAATTCAATCTCTAAAATCTTTCACCCCAACCCCCATAAAAGAACGTAATTTGAATAATCCTTTCCACCCATATTCTTCACGAAAGAATTCAATAAAAGAATAACTCCCCCATCGATGAAAATAACCATTCCTCCCCTCCAATAATTTTTTTGTCACAGAGCGAAGGGTCGCAAGCAAGTCCTCCGTGGCTACAACGCATGCACGGCGACAACCAATGGTGCACCATCCCGAAGACCATCAAAGTCGGAGAGAAGAGCTGATCGCACAACCCGTATGCTAGTAGCTGTCCTATTACTATTCCTCGTTACCGAAATACCCCAGGGAATACTTGGCCTGCTCTCCGGAATCCTGGGTGACTGTTTTTTCCGGAATTGTTACCACAATTTCGGGGAGATCATGGACATCCTGGCCCTGCTGAACGGCGCCATCAACTTCATCCTGTATTGCTCCATGTCGAGACAATTTCGAATGACTTTTGGTCAACTCTTCAAGCCGAGGATAATGAACAAATGGCAGCCAGCTACGAACCACACAGAGGTTCAAAGTACTTATGTATGATGCAAACGTAGGGTCTGCAGGACTACGAAAGTATAAAGACCAATTGGCTTTCTCTTTGAACTGTACTTTTTCAGAGTTTTTCGTTTTTGCGTCATTCTCTTTCATGTTGCACCTCTGAATGTCATCGGACACATGCGAAAGGTTCCAGACGAGAGGTGTGTCTTTCACGTCTTGAAAGCCTGTTGCCTAGTTGATCTATTCTCACGTCATAGAGGCGCTCACAAGGACGCCGTCAGACTAGTCTTCCGTTAAAAGCTATATAAACGTCGTGGCGTCATTTCTCGAAAGTTGTGTCACACATTAAATATTACAGTGAATTGGATGGACAATAGATATCGGAAGTGACGACATTATTGAGCTGTCCTTTTAGTAATAATTACGGGAAAAATGGGATCGTGGATCAAAATTCAAATAACTTTCTTTCCATCTTGTGATAATTATATTAGATAAAATTATTTTAAATAAATATTTTTTTACCGCCCATTCAATAATTTCGTAAATTTTCTATTATTGTACCATAATCTATTTAGTCCTATTGTAAATATTTTCCTGCTCACGTACACCACTGTGCTGAAGTCCAAAAATTCATTACATCAATTTTTCATGCGACTGAAAATAATGAAAATGAGAAAGCACCGTTACGTTACGTTACGTTAATGTTTTCGTCCGCAATATCCCCCAGTGATATGTCAAATGTGATATTTTGTTGTGATATTTGCAATTTGTGAAATTCAGAGGTGCAACCACGGAATATCAATGATATCCACTCTGTCAAGATGTCATTGTACAAGTCCACATTGACTCTGATAATATTTTCTGGACAGTAAGAAGCCAATGGCAGCGAACATGTAGTTGTCTCGAGGACAAAGGATATGGAAGAACAGGGATTGTTATTTTCCGCGCTTGATATCCTTGAGGAGACGCCAATATGTAATAACTTCGTTTGCTGTTTGAGACCCCTTTGTCATCGGGTTTCAGCGCGTAGTCGGTGGAGACCCTGCTTACATTTAAGATTTTTCTTTGTTGCCTTGACAGCGGCGGGACAATACTTTCGACAGGGGATTAATTCCCTTGAGACGAATAGTTTGGATAGAATTATCTCATTTGAAAAGTTAGTCAAGTGATCCTCATCCCTCCCGAGACGAAGGTGTCGCTATTCCTCCCAAATTGTTGTATATAGCCGTCGAAAGCAATTCTCCTCTCGCTGTCATCACGTTTTGTATAAAATTGAGAACAAAAATTGTAAAAAGTTCGATGTACACAGGATACAACCACGCTTCAATGATAGATGTAAGGATGAGTGATATATTTGTACAAAGAATAACTGCATAGTATTGAATATTGTGATATAATGGGGATAACGGGTACAACTGAATGAACATCACCTGGACTTTCCTCCACTGAGCCCAGAGGGAAATCCCAGTGATCAGTCTGAGTGAATGAGTGATTGTAAACATGCTCGTGGTGCTCCCACGTTTAATAAATGCATTGAACAAACATTCATCGAGGATTATTTACTCTTTAACTGCATCCGCCCAATTTTCTCCTTTCCTTTCTGCGGTTGTGGCGCCACAAAAACAAGTGTGTTACATTGAAACGATTTGTAAATTTTTTGAACATCAATTATTTATAATCATTCTCAAAAAATTTTGCATTTGGATATGAATGTAGTTTGTTTAAAGTGGAAAAATCGATCATCATTTTCATTATATTGCAACCAGATTCTCCTATTCTTAACCCTCGATCACTCGCTCTCGGTCGCGAGTTCTTCTTTTGAACTTTCACGTTTTCTATAAACTCCTCCATTCACTGGATTTTCATCTTGAAACAAGATTTAAGACGAGAACATCTATTTGAAATATCATTTTACGATCACCGGAAGACGGTTGTGCTCGCAGTGTTTCTGTTTTCGATATTTGTCGTCTTCCCCCTTCAATTCTCAGCAACACTTGCACGTGTCTGAGAGATAGAACCAACAAATCCGTTTAACAGGATCTAAGGATTGACTCACGTAGATGGAATACAAAGGCGATGGGCAGGATGTGACGCTCAGAACCCCATTTGTCCGCGTTAGCGTCGTATTACGACAACTCGTGGCAATCGAAGTGGAAGTGGTGTGTCTTCCTCAGCGAAGGAAGAAAATAGGAGCGATGGTTTGAAAATGTGGCGATGACCGATGTGATATTTTATTGGGATTTTACACCCATAGAAGAGCTTTCAAGCACGTCCACTCGTTTTCTCCGAGTTTGATGAATCGCTGGATTTTGGATTGTCTCGTTTTCGGTTTCATCTTTTATTTAGTCGGCGGTGTCTCCCCGGGGGTGTGCTTTTGGGGGAGGATTATCGAGGGATTGACGGGGTTTTGGGAGGTGTCGAGGGAGCTTTCTTGTACGTCGAGAAATTTCGGGAGAAAAGGCCTACTGATGATTTCTTATCTTATTAGGAGTTAGGGAGATGTCTTGGTGATTGATGGGGATCTATAGAGCGCCATGAGTGCAGTGAGAAAGAGTGCGTGTTCCGATATTAAAATATGTCTCATAAGTTGAATCAAAGGCCTTTTGTAAACTTGAATAAAAAGTTTTTCATCCCTTTTACTCAAGAGCTTTCTATTCATCCTCTTCGAAGGCTTCTTATCAATCTCATTTAAAAGAATTTTATCAATTCCAATAAAAGGTTTTTCCATTTTTTTCTTCATATTAAACCTTATTTGAAGACCATCCTTAGGAGCTTGTGTTTGTAGTGATGACATGAAAAATTCTGCAGTTGGCAAAATGAATTGACTCTCCCTCATTAAAAAATTAATGTTCGTCCAGCCGTCAGTAATTTAACATTCACAGCGAGAATCGAATACCCTTTGACTTCAAAATTTCACGGTTGTTAATTTTCGATGAACTCCCTTGACTATTTCAGAAACCTTTTACAAACCTGAATAAAAAGTTTTTCATCCTTCTTACTCAAGAGCTTTCTATTCATCCTCATTGAAGACATCTTATTAATCTCATTTAAAAGAATTTTATTAATTCCAATGAAAGGTTTTTCCAACAAAATGTAATGCTGTTTTTCATTTCTCATCGAAAAATTCCGCAGTTGACAAAATAAATTGACTCTCCCTCATTAAAAAATAAATGTTCATCCATCCGGCAGTAGCTTAACATTCATAACGAGATTCGAATACCCTTTGACGTCAAAATTTCACGCTTGTTGATTTTTGATGAAGTCCCTTAACTATTTTATAAGCTAATAATGACACCGCACACGACACGTAAATACTTGTTGCCCCATCGTAATTAGCTCCATAAATATTCCAGAGCAAACATCGCGCTTTGAAGTTTAGGATTGAATTTTCAGATTATATTAAACCCTCTGCCGTTTGACCCTCGCCCGTACAATCCTTTGATGATGAATATGTCGCTCACTCCTCGGATTTATGCACGAGTTGTCGACTATTTGAGGCATTATTCAAATCCTCGAAAATTCCGTTTAAATTCATAAAATAAATAACGCGAGAGGAAAAGCAGACGGGTGGATTGGAAAAATGGGGAATGATGGATATGCCGTGACATGAGCTGGCAAGTGGAAGAGGAATATAAACGAGGGGAAGTGGATGGCTGACCGCTTCAGAGTTAAAACAGAAAATTGGATTTCACACGAGGAGAAAAGTTGGATAAAAATCAGTTGGAGAAAAATTCAGTAAAAATTACCCGAAAAAAAACGTAAAAATTACGTTTCGAAACGGAATTCGCGAGCGAGATAAAATTCGGAACGGAACGTAGAAATAACTCACCAAGTTCATAAAAATTGTTGAACGTTCAAGAATATTTGATTTTGGAGACATAATAAGTCGCCATGTTTCTGTAAGATTTTATTTCTTCGGGAAAAATTACAATTTCGTACAAGTACTGAAAATCGAATTCACTCCACGATTACTTGACTTGTTCGGTAATTTTTCTCAAACTTTTTTCCTGCCCCCATTGTTGACTGATAACGAGGGGAGTTTTTCAATATTCGATCATAAATTTCAATTAACTCATTTCATTTCGCCACTTCACCCCTAAATGCACTCTCTCCAATCGTAGAAAAGACCAGTTTAATGTGAAAAATTACGACGAAAATCCAATTTCGAGGTTGAATGTTTTTTTTTACATTCAACAAACATTTTCCATTCAACAAACATTTTCCATTCAAACCTCGTCTTCATTAAGTACACGTTTGTCTTCAGTTATTCTAGCACTCGCCAGCAGTCTTCGGGACAAACCCCTGGCAGTCTCCACAATCTAAATAAGAAACGAGAGAAAAAAGGTAATGGTTCTGTTAATGGTCTGGAGGAATTGAACTTTTATTCATTTTTTTTTTCGTTTGTCTGTTTCTTCTAGCCTTTTGTTTTTATTTGGCTTTTTTTTCGGTACCTGCGGCTCGACAGTCGTCACGGCCGCTATGTCCTTGAGGTCGGAGAGGATCTCATTGGCCCGATCCCTTTTCCCTCTTTCCTCTAGGATAACTGCGTAATTGATGAGGGTGAGGGGGTCCTGAGGTGTCAGCGCGTGAGCTTTGGAAAGGGCCTTCTCTGATCCCTCCAAATCCTCAAGCTTCTTTAGGGCGACTAGAAGTTTATTGCGAATAAAGAGTTATTATGGCTTTGTCCACAAGTAAATTGATTCAACACGACAAAACATCTCTTCAGGGGAACATATGATTCCCTGACAGAACTAATATTCTCCCTCAGTGCACGTGCACCAACAAAATTTCATGGAAATATGGCGAATTCCATGGAAAATTCTATTGGATTTTTATTGATTTTTAATTAATTTTTTTCTTTTCTTTTCATTTTTCTTTTTTTATTTCTGCCTTCATTTTTCCTATGAAATATTTTCCACTCAACATTTCTGTTGAACAAAAGCGTTAGTTTACTAAAAACTAATTTCAAATCTGGCATAAATCCCACAGAATTTTCTACTGAATTCGCTAGGTTTTTCTGCAAAAAATTGTTTCGTACGTGCAATATTATCGACTCTCACATTTAGCACGAACCCAGCGAACTAATTAAATCCCCTCCACTGCACTCGCCAATTTACATCCCAGAAACATCACTAGGCAAAATTTTCCCGAATAATTCACCCCTAATTCAATTCAAAAAAATATTTTTAAAATCTCGAGAATTTCCAACTCAAAACAGCTCCACAAGACGCTGCACAATAAATTTAATTTAGCCCTTCGCTACGGTACAAGAATATTCTGGACACGTACAAGTGTGACTCCGCCAGTATTTAGAATATGCAAAAGTTTCTCCCTCCCTCCACGGAATCCGGGTCAGGAAGGGGTTTAAAAAAATAATTCAGCTGCAAGAGAATCTTTCCGGGAAAAATTATGCGCATTTTCCTCCCCCCCCCCCTCACCCGAATCTAAAATGTAAATTGAGACCCCTGAAATTTGATTCAATCCGGCGTATGATGGATGCATTGAAATGCAAATCATAAATTTCCAAATGCATAATTTGGGGTGGAATGATGCACTTACTTCCAAGAAGGAGATAGGGCTGGGGATTTTTAGGGGCTGCCGTTACTGCGGAGCACAGGTAAATTGCTGCTGATGCTGGCTGGCCGGTGGTCAGCAGTACTCTTCCCAAATTACACGCCGGAAGCAGTGCCATCGGGTTCAAGTAATGAGCTCGCTTCAAGCAACTGATTGCCTGTAATTTACGAAGTATAGAGCGGCGGTGCACCGGTAAAAATTTTTGGTGGGTTCATCAGGTATTTTCCGATGGGTTCGTTACAAACACACGAGAGCGCTTCATGTCGATTTTGATGGAAAGCTTGTTAATATAATTAAAAGCTTCTTATTAATGTTGATTGGAAGCACTTTAATTAAACGCTCCTAATCATGAATTTTTTATTTATAGCTCCTAATTGCATGAATATTTCCCTTCGTCCTTGGAAAAACAGAAAAAAATGAGTCGAGCTTTCCGGTCCACCTCTTCAATTTTTTTTAGAGAATATGAATTTTCCAAGAATGCAAATGAGATTTTTTTCATTCGAATGTATCAGCTCCAGGTGCTTGTCGAAAAGTATTTGATTAATCTCAATCAAAAAATTGTATGAATATTTCTTTTCATGCTAGGAAAAACAGAAAAAAAATGAATCGAGCTTCGCGTCCACCTCTTCTGTTTTTTTTTTTAGAGAATATGAGTTTTCCAAAAATGCAAATGAAATTTGTTTCATTTGTCACAATTGCAAATTCTCCATTCACTTCAATCAGTGCATTCATATTCTCTCATTCATGTTCCCCTGTGGAATCCCGAAAAAAATCCAGAAATAACGTGGCAACGAATTGTATGGGACACGGCATAAAAAAATCAAACATTCAAATGGATTTCTCTTGCATGTATCTGTACTATGAAAATGTTATTCTTTCCCATTCGCGTATTTATTCAGCGGAGGAAAACCCGGTATTGCTGTGACTCGAGAGGACGATCGCACAACTGGGAAAGGAAATGACTGCGTCCCAGGCCATTGAGGGCTCTCCGTCCCTTGTGGACATTAAAAAGCTCTCGGTGGCGTCAATGCCCCACGTGTTCACCGGAACATCTCCCGCAATACACGGGTGAGCTTTCTACACGCTCTGGTATTCAGCGGGGGAAAATTCACCAATAGTATGCGCGCTCTTTTTGTTCGTCTGATAATCGCAGTATCCGTTAGGATTCATATTGGATGCATTGAATTTTCGGGAATTATCGGCATTTATTGGGGCGCCGTTAAATTAAAACGGTTCATTAATGAAATTTTGTCTCTTTGTCCGATTTTAGCTGATGGAAGTGTTTCAATAATCTTTGTTTATCGTTATTTTACATCGGTTCGACCCGGTTAGGGTACACTGCGATGATTGGTCACCATATGAGGGAAACCCCGTCGCGCGTCGTTCTTCTTTAATTACAATTGACTGGTTAACCGGAAAAATTAAAAAAAAATTAACTTCGTCAACTGAAGTGTCTAAAGAATTATAGTATTTTTTGAGAACAACATATTTCCCTAAATTCCTAAAGAAAACAAATTATTTCGAACAGATGAATTATTTTTTCCCATATTAAATGAAATTGGCCATGACGCGACGTTGCCGGAAACTCGCTAAATGCGCTTGGGCAATGTATAGAGTGAATTCGGCAATGCTGGAGCCTAAGTCACACGGCGGGGAATCCCCGCGGAGGTGACCAGAGACGATAATTTTTGGACTTGTACAACTCTGGAAGCACCATTGGAAACGTCAAACTGTACGACACAGTTCGAGAGTATATTGCAACCACTTGGGAATACGCTGAGACAGATAGTGCGAGCGTCTCGATGTCTTCAGACAACTTTTATCATTAAAACTTACGGCATAGACACCAGTTATTTTTTGTTTTTGCGCAGTCAAACATTATTCTCAAGATAGGTAGGGGAGACCGGGGCGAAGCGGGGTAGCTAAGACATACTTATCTTGCTTTTTAGCAATCACTATTCACATTCTAAAATTATCAACTCGTTTCTCCAACGTATTACAGTTGGGCGCACTGTGGGGTAGTGTCCAAAAACTTTAAAATAATTATAAATGTTGTTTCATAAATTTCTTTTTCACCTTCGAGTCTCCAAAAACGACAGGAAAACTCTGAAATCGATAGGGTTTTAATAACGAATAACAAATTCCAATTGGAGTGAGGCAGTTAAATAATTAATGATATTAATTAATAATAATAAAAAATATATATTCATGAATATATGAATATTTATGAATATTTTTAGTATTCAATTAATTAATAATTAATCATTAATTATTATTCATTGAAACAAATTGTTGAATTTGTCAAATTGCTAAATTTGTGGGGTCGATTAATCAATAATTAATGAATAACAATTGATGCTCAATTAATCGAATTGATGAATAATAATTAATTAAAATAAATAAGGAAAAAAAACGGATGGGGTGATTTCAAGACAAAAAATTCCAGAAGTAATACTCGTTCGAGGTTGTACGTAAGCAGACAACTTTACGCCTCAAATTAGTTTTCCAAGAATATACCGAAGTTGTTCAATAAAAATCGATGACTAAGCAGTGCTTGAGATTGGAAATTTCCCTGGCTTTGCAATGAGCCAACACTCAATTCCCCATACCCTTCACCCAGCGATATATTCCACAAAGTAGAAACTTCCAAACTTGTAAACTCACAGCAACAACTTTCTGCTTGCCATACAGACACATGCCAATGTTATTCCACAGGTGATAGGATTCCGGAAGCATCTGAACTGCAGTTTTATACTTGAACAGCGCAACATCGTACTCCTGATGAGTCTGCGGAGGCAGAAAGCGACAAATTAATTTTACGCGTGCATAATTATGCGCGAGATGATGTTCTAATTTCGTTGAGAAGTCGCAAAACTTTATTAGTTCGATAAGACGAGTGTACGACATATCTTTGAACAATTTAATTTCGGTTTCAACAGAAATGTTCGGTGGAAAATTCTCGATTTTTTAATGCAATAGACAAGAAAAAAGAGTGGGAAAGACGTAGGAATTTCGTGCGGCAGAATTCTCATAGAAAATATTCTCACAGTAAATCTGCGGAATTCGTCAATAGAATTGGCCAAACACTAGTAGAATTTTCAATAGAAATCCAATAGAATTTTCGAATTCGCTGTTTTTCTGCAAAATTTTTCCGTGCGTTGAGAAAAAATCAATCATAAACTTCTTCTGTACTTGGATAATATAGGCCATCGGTACAATAGCTGCGGTGCAGCCCGCGGACTGCGCCAGTACAGTCCCGAATTGTTGAAATGCCTGCTGATCGTCCCCTGCCCTGAGGTACACGAGCCCCAGCTCAATAGCTGCATCCTCGCTCTCACAAGGAGTCCTGGAAGTTGAGAATGAGTGAATTCATTGGCGCCTGAACGAGGTCTTCATCAATTTCCAACATCAAAGAGCACACGAAGGATCACATTAATACTTCCACGACTCTTGAAGAAGCTACCCCATTAACAGGAGAATTACCTCTATAATAACTAAATTTCAATTAAGTTCAACTTCTCGCACTTCGTTTGCATAAAGTGCGCAATTATCTGGCATTTCCATCAGCTACTTCGGGAGCAGGTCGTGCATAAGACTATGCAAAAATTTAATTCAATTAATCGTAACGTTTAGGTTGCACTCAAATCTGCATCGAAAAATTTTCAATGAACTCGTGAAACTTTTTACGACCAACTCGAAAACGAAGGGTTACAATAATGTTTTTATACGGAAATAAAAACCTCTCTAGATAGGGGTGAAAATTTAGGCGACATATAGGGACGAGGGTCATGAGAGTCAGACGTGTGAGAATCATGAATGAGCAATTTTCACAAAGAGTAATTTTTTTTCGCGGAAGAAGAATGGAGTCTTCCTAGGGAATAAAAAATTCAAGGACGGCGAAAGGGTCGCGTGGGTCAGGATCATAAAATAAAAATAAAAAGACTGATTGAAGTGTTCAATCTTGTCGAGTATTCGAGGAAAAACAATCACTCACGAATAAGTTGAGAAGGAAAATATTCTCTATTTGAAAAGAGAATAATTGTGGACTTGACTGATAAAGATGATAAGGGTCAATTCTATTTAATTTTCAATTTTTTCTGGATAATAAAAAATAAGGAGAATAAAAATTCAGGCTCAGGCGAAAGGGTCTCGAGGGTCAAGATCATAAAATAAAAATAAAGACTGAGTAAAGCGTTCCATGTCATCACGTTCTCGAGGGAAAACAATCGTTCATGAATAACTTGAAAAAAAAAATTATTCTCAAGTTAAAAAGAGAAAAATTCTGAGCTGAAATGATAAAGACGATAATGGTTTGATTGTGAGTACCATTTCAAGAGGAACAAGAACCTCTCGTCAATTCTATTTTATTTTTTCAATAGAGCAAGTCTTCCTGGGTTTTCATGAGTTTACCAATAAGAATACTGACTTGAGTGCTGCGGAATAAACTTCAATAGCATCGTTGACTCGATTCTCCTCAACGTAGAGACGTGCCAGCGATAGATAGGGAATCTCATTCTTCGTCAATTCTGTCGACCTCTTGAATTCCCTCTTGGCGTCCTCCGATAAATTTAATTTTACGTAGCACTCACCTTTAATTGAACAGTGATTAATTAATGGGTTTCGTAGGACATCGAGCGTGAGTTTTTAATTAAATGTGATTTTTTTTTTAATTGTGAGAGTCAATGGAGTGGATTAAATGCCAGGGAAGGGGACCATTCGCTTCGAAGAGGAAGGTGAAGTAACGAATTTTATAGTCTTATTATTTTTCCTTCCGAATGGAGGATATTCTATTCGTAAAATCCAAAATTGACCTTTTTGGTGCCAGAATACCTAATTTTGGACTCAGGAGATCGATCATGAGATTGGTTGCATCATCTGGTGTTGAAAGAATTTATTTTGAAAAAAATATTTAGGGAAAGGTCAAAAATTTTAACGGCAGTGGGACAATGCTGGCATCAACGTTGCGACAACGTTGGGCCAACGTTGAATTCAATGAATCATTGAATTAATTTTAAAATTTATCATCCTAGAAATTCCATTCGGAAGCAAATTGCCAATTTATTAGCAAAATATATTGAGTGTGTTGTGACGAAAGCAATTTCCCACTTGTTCCAATATTGTATTTATTGAAACGTATAATTTTCATTGGAAATGTGAACGATTCCCACCAAGACTGTGATGTATCTCCCAATCAGGTGCGGCTGACATTCTGCCGGCTTCTAAATAAGCATCGACAGCTCTCTTGTGACTTCCGAGAAGAAATCTGCAGAAAGTAACTCGATTTAGTGGTCTATTGAACTGAAATTGCAGTCCGATAATGTCATTTTCCAGTCGTTATATTTTCAGCATCGTTCCACGAGGTACTCACAAAGATTTGGCAATTTGCTTCACGTTGTTGACATTCGTGGAATTGACATTGTAACAGTTCTGAAAGCAGTCGAGGGACACTTGAATTTTTCCCTCTCTTCGAAGAATCAACCCCTGAAAATAGAGAGCGATCCATGGAGAATCGATTTTATACTGCTCTAACTGACGAGAAAAGAAGAAATCGAGAAAAAAATTGTCCATTGTTTAAAAAAATGAGAATCGCTAGAATTTTGTTATTTTCCCTCGGGGTTTTAATTCGGAAGGTGGGACGTGATCTCCTGATACCTGAAGATTTTACGGATGAAAGGATTTACTAGAAAAATCTGGGGAATTCACTGGACAATTCTGTTGCATTTCTATTGAACTTTCTATTAGTTTTTGGCCTATTTTTGGCTCTACTGAAATGTTTAATAGAAAATATTCAATAGAAAAAGTCAAGTTTTTTCATTCTATTTTCTTTTTCTTCTCATCAAGAAGGTCTCGCGAGGTATCTTATACGAAGCCTCTACTGTATAATGTAAATTTTTTTAAGCAGAATAAACCAACAGGGTTGGATGCTCAGATAAAAAAAAATCATCGTAAGATGGTTGTTTTTGCTGCTAAACCCCTCAATTACAATCCATAAATCGCCCAAAGACGTATTAATCAAGACCTCCAACTCGTCGTTCCTCCCACCATTTGTCTTCGCGAATTTAATCCACTGCAGACTCCCGACTACATAACGGCTTCATCAACTTTCTTCCCAAAACTTTGCAATTGTACATCACGAAAGGATCGAGCAGAACAATTCAGCCTCAGCCCCATAAATACAGAGTTCCCCAAGCAGATTGTCCATAACTTTTCATCATTCCAAACTCGGACGCAATTCGTGCCATTAATCCACAACAATTCATAATAAATCCCCCATTGTTCTCGAATTTACCACAATGAGTTCGAAAATGTCGTTTTACCTTCAAATAGCTCGCGTACTCATTGTGCCCATTGGAGTTGGTCAACTCCTGGTCAATTAAGTACTTCGATATTTTGTACTCGTGACGCGTGTAGTGGCGATGCAGCAGCCAGTTGCGGCACTCAATAGCCGGGATGTCTGGAAAATTAATGGGCAAATGGAAAATTCGATTAACAGTTGGTTCAACCGATTTGTTGACTTTCAATCGCAGTCAGACTTCGGGTGTAAAAGTTGATGAATGGATCTTTTGCCAGATAATTCTGGGAAAAATGTTTATTCATTCGGTTGTGAATTTATTTGCATTCAAACGATATTCTAAAACGTGACATTTCGGGTGACTGGCGAACGATCTTTAAAGAGAGTTGAATTAAAATAAAACGAAATATTTCTCTCGTTATTTTTTTCCTCATTTGTTGACTTTCAATCACAGTTTATAGTTTCTAGTCTTTGTTTGGCGGTACAGCAGTGGATGAATACAGCTTTTTCGAAAGTTAAATTCAATATTTCGATTCAACAAATGGAATACAGTAGAAGAATAAATAACGGGAGTTGCGTTGAACGGAGAAAAACGTTTTTCATCGAAAAAAATGCCTGGTGCTATTGAATTCTTTAGAATGTTCATTTGGTGATGAATTTATTCATTCAAATAGTATTGAAAACATGACATTTTCGGTGATTGGAAAACGATTTCATTGGACTCATTCCACTGTATCACAGTAAAGAATGAAAAACTGAATTCGTTTGAAATTTTTTCATCGAAATATCTCATCAACGAAATTATTCGATCCGAAAAAATTGCTGACTGCGTTTGCAGTCCAATAAACTTGATGGTGTTCGAACCTTTTTTTGACTTGTCGATTGACCTTTCACTCCTCCGATTAGCCGAGTGATGGGGCACCCCGCCGTTGCTGAGTGTATTGTTTGCCATCTAATAGTTGTCTTCGAACAGCCTCCGCTCATGCATCCACTGTTAATTATCTCAACGCGGCTTGGCTACAATGAGACTGCGGTGGGCTATTGTTGCCGTATTGTGTATCCTCGCTGTTGTCTTGGCAACGCTATGCGCTACAGGGGTATGATTCAAAGCTCGTGTCTTTAGAAAACTTCATTAATGTGAGTAAAGTACTTCGTCGGAGATATAACAGAATTTTGCATTATATTTATCATCATAATTACCTTTCTTCGATCTTCAGAAATTGTTTTTGAACGCAAAAATTGTTTTGTCGTGCACGGAGAGAAATTCTTTTGAAAAATTCTAGGGCTGTAAGGTAACGTTTCCGGGGATTTCCGAGGGGCTATTCATTTGTGAGGTGAACGGAAAAAATAGACCGGGAAAAAACATCCCAACCATTCTATTTTTTCCGGGATTCCACACGGAGAGAAATGTTCAATAAAAATTACGGAACTTACAGTTCGCTCACCGATTACGGAATCGACTCAGAAAATTTAAGTGACGGTATGGGAATTTTTCACAGGAGATTCAGTTAAAAATTACGGAACGCTCTGGAAAAATTCCGTGACAGTTCCGCAGAAATTTTCTACAACCACATTTAGCTCCGGAATTACGGAAGAGATACGTAATTTTTATTGAATATTTCTCTCCGTGCATTTGTGAACTCAGAGAAATCCTGGGATTTCATCGATTCCAGGGGATTTCAATTGAAATCAGTAAATCAGCGGCTCATAAAACCCTTTCAAATACATAAAAAAGAAACTTGCCAGACAAGTGTGAAAGTTTTTTGAGATGAGTTTCCAAACTCGAGAAGAGTTTTTTGAAGGTATTCCCGGAGTTTCAAAAAAATTTTTTTTTCAACTAAATTCCTATCCACTGTTTAGTTATAAATTATAAATTATTATAACTTTTCATTGCTGAAGGTTTTGCAAACTCCACGGATGTGTTCCCGAAATTTGCAAAACCTTCAAATTGGTAGAAAAAATAAAATAATACAGCTTTCTCCACCCATTCATTCACTCCATCCGCAAAATGCCCGCAATTCTCGAAACAGTAAAAAATCCAAGTACAATCCATACACAAAAGATGAAAGATTTATGCCCTTATATTCACGAATACACTGAGAAAAAAAATTATTTTCGCCAAATACCCATTTACTTGAGAGAAGTATTTATTTTGTCAATTCCATATTTCTCCTGCCGAGTCATTCCCGGGAAATTCTCATTAGGCTTCAATTGTGACAATTATATTTCTCTAGAAGATGATCATGTTAGCTATGATCTTGAGTGAACTCCCTCAATAATTATCAACATTAAAAAATCATTCAAAATTCTTTCCCTTAGAAAATAAGAAATTTAGGAAAAATGAATAGGGGAGGCTGGGGTAGAACGGACACTTTTGACTTTTTCTAAAATATTAATAAGGGGTTGAAATGTTGATAAAATTTAATTTTTTTTTTCTCAATACAAAGAACAATTCTTTCCCTTTATGACGAGCCTAAACTGAGCTCAATTGATCAATTTGTTTCTGAGTTATGAATAATAATAAAAAAGTCTAAAGTGTCCGTTTTACCCCACCCTCCCCTAATCATTGAAGGAGTTCATCGAAGGTCATGTACAGCATAGTCTTCCTCTAGAGCAACATGATTGTCATAATTGTAACCTAATCGGGCTCGTCTGGGAATGACTCCGGTAGAGAAATTCGACTTTAAAAAAATGAATACTTCTCCCAAGTAAATAGATATTTGGCAAAAATATATTTTTTTCTCAGTGTACACCTGTAAAATAACCCTAAAAGCCTGAAACCCCATGTGTTATCACTCTCCACAATTCAAATACACCCCAACTCCCCCAACGGTCCCTCCACGAACTTTAAAACGTCATGACCCCAACATGGCGCTCTGTGTTACCCGTGTTATGCCGTGGAACAATAGGCCACGCGTGCGGTGAGAGAATTTCTCCCGAGATAAAGTGAAAATACGGTGGACAGGTGCATTCTCGCCTTATCAGCGTGTCAGCCGGTGGTCACAGGGACACTTGCGCCTGCTAATCGACCCGACCACGGGGTAAAAGGGGCTCATTAGGATGTAGACAATGCGATTGATCAATTATGACATAACTGGTGTCAGCGGCTATTACTCGGGTGAGTCATTATTTTTTCACCAGTTTCGAGGGACAATCGCTGTTTAGCCGGCGGACTAGACTGCAAGAGCGATTTCTCGGGACTATTGTTCATGACTGGGAATTATTTATGGAGGGGGTGGAGGGGGCCTTTTATTTCCACCTGTTAACAGTCAATGTTATGTCTAGTAGTCGCTTTTATCAGTCGATGGTGGTGCATCACGCTCTATTTATTTAATGCTTGCAAACATTAAATAAATTTACTTCCGCGGCAAAGTAATAAATATTGGACCAAACGATTTTTTGAAAATTTTTATCGACTGATTTATGAGTTCTTTTTTAATGGCTCTCACGAAAGACGTTAATTGAGGGCTTCAGCTGGGCGGAAACTGGAGATAACAATTCAGTTTCTATTCTCTTTTGTTATCAGACAGGAAAAACGACGGCCTTCGGGTTTGAATCGAGGGATTTGTTCGGCGTTGAATGGGATTTTATTCAGAGGATTTTTGCAGATGTTGGGGGTGTTATTATCGAGATGCCAAGAGGTTTGTGGGAAATTTGGAGGAAAGAGTTTTTGTAGGAAATTTAATTCTGTACAAAAATGTCTTGTGATATTTTTTCACAGAACCACTCGTTCCCGAGATAATTTGGTAGTTATGAAAAATGATTTCTCTTGAGAATTTAGTTTTTGATGTGGAGAGAATTTTTTTTGGGTTAGTTAATTTTTTTGTGGTGTCTGTGGATTTTTTTACAAATTTTCTTAAAAGGCATCAACCGAATTTCAAAGGAGAACCCATTCGGAACCAAATTGCTAATTTATTCGCAGCAATAATTATGCTCATATATAAAAGTAATGCAATTGTCCACTTGTTTTTCACTTTTATTACCGAAGAGATACAAATTAAAGAGCCATTGATAGCCTTCACCTTAAAAAATGCTGTGTTTACATCATGTCAACAGAATTCTAAATGAGGGAGTAATTTATTTCCGTCCTGTCGACACTCCATTTCATCTTAAAAGCCATTTTCAATGCAATATGTCCATAAAGGGATGTCATTAGTCCTTTCGAGCTCCATGTACTTGATTTTGACATCAAGTTTTTTTTCATGATGTCATCAGCGTCGTTAATGGTGTTGTTTTTGGATGTTGATGGAGATGGGGGGAATTTGTTGCAGACGAGATGCAGCACACTAATGAATTGTAATTACTCGTAATCGATAATCGACGAGAAGAACTGATGAGTTGCTCGGTGGAATTGAGGCAGAGACGGCAGACAGGGATGACGGAGGATCCCCACAGATTAGCAGCCATGATGAACAAGTCCCAGAGGCTGGTACTGGGGCTTCTCGTTCTGCTCCTTGTGGATATTATTTGGGTATCCAGCTCCGAACTGACTAAGGTAATTAATTAAGTAAATAATGACCAATCGGAGGGATCTGGTCCAGTGGGGATTTCTGGCAAATCTCTGTTGTATCTTTCATCTCATTTCGTGGAGGAGAGTCTCAAATTATTTTTCATGCTGATGAAAATTGATGTTTCGTTGAGTAATGCGACTATATTTCTATTCTCAAAGACTCCAGGAGTATATTTGCGATGAGTTTGCAGGTGTATTGAGAAATGATAAACTCTAAGTCCGAGGAGTGGTGTTTCTCGTACAATTCTTCATTATCTGGAAATTAAGACCCGGCCGACACGATTTTTTTCTCTTTTTACTCCCAGAATCCCCGGAAGGGATGATAATTGGGGGTGGAAGAATGGATGTAAAATTTAATTTTTTTATTTCGTGTATATAGATCCAACAGCATAAAGCCAATCACAAATTCCGGAAATTTTTATCGCGATGCAATTCCACTGAAATTTCAGGAAATTTTGTCATTGAAAATTCTGAGTTTCGTGGAAAAATCAAACAGAACTGTAAATTTCTGGTCTATTTTTCCCTGAAACTGAATAGAAAACCAGAAAATTCTGGTAGATATATTCTTCAATTTTCATTCATTTTCCATTTTTTTGCAGTTTTTTTTTTGCATTATTCGTTTTAGACATGTATAATCGATCTTCAATGCATCTGGGCTTAAGAGGGGAGGTCTTCATTCTCAAAATTCTCTCCACCCGTTCTCTTTTCAATTCTCGACCTCGAATTCAGTAGCGAAGCGGTAAACTGGGTTAAGTGGTTTTCACTATTCGCTAGTTTTTGACGAATATCTCGGAATCTAAAAGAGATAGAAAGATTTTTGTCATGAACTTTTTTGTAGAGCCAATAGAGCGTTATAAAAAAAGTCATGAGAAAAATTTTGCCACCTCTCTTAGATTCCGAGATATTCAGCAAAAACTGGCTAATAGTCAAAATCGACTTAACTCGGTTTACCGCTTCACTACTGAATTAATCTTTGAATTAATTCTTGAATTATCGTCCATTGTTGGTGATTTTAATTAACAGTACGTCTACAAAGAAGCATCATTCGAGAAGCCATTCTTCAGCACCTACGTGAACACCTCAATGTTCACCCTCTACCTCCTGGGCTTGTGCTTCTGGCCCCCCTGGAGAGATCAGTGCAACAAGCCCACAACGTACATGTTCATAGATCCAAATGCCGAGGACGACAACTTCTACTCGGAAGCCAACACCAGCCTCAGTGATCCCACATTCGTTCCAATAAAGAAGCCAGATCACTACGACAGATCCTCAGGAACTGAGAGCGATGATTCCTCGATTCGTGGAGTGCGTTTCAGCAAATTGGCGGAGGTGAGACACATGTCTGAGAGCGACGCCACTGAGGCTCTTCTTGCCAGGCTGAGTTATCAGGCCAGTGTCAGGGCTGGAGAACATGCCAGGAGGCAGGCTCACAAGTTCTCGGTCCAGAAGGTCGCCAAGATTGCTCTCATGTTCTGCTTCCTCGTGAGTAATTTCATAACGTGACCGCAACATTTTTATCGTCATCAAAATGGAATTAGAAGAAGAGAGTTAATTTTCATAAATTAACTCCTATCAATTAATAAATATGATACAATACAATTTAATTAATCATGAAATATTATTGTAATATTATTATTAATTAATCAATAAATTACTTATTAAGGATGTTTATCCAAAATCACAAGTACTTGAAAAAAAATTGATTGGCTAAACATTCTTAAATTTTCCAGTTATTCCTGGCAAACTACACATTCCAAATTTCTCTCGCTGAAACCGAAGCTGGAATCGTGACAGTATTATCGTCAACCTCGAGTCTCTTCACCCTATTTCTAGCCACATTTTTTCCAAGCAACAGTGGTGACAAGTTCACCGTTTCAAAACTCGTGGCTGTGGCAGTTAGCATCTTTGGTCTCGTGTTGGTGGGACTTTCTGACATGCACATGGAGAGCAAGGGCGTACCACCGGGCATAATATTGGCTCTAGTCAGTGCATTTTTTTACGCAACTTACATTGTTTTTCTGAAGAGAAAAGTCGACCATGAGGATCGCATGGACATTCCAATGTTCTTTGGTTTCGTTGGACTATTCAACTTGACTCTCCTCTGGCCATTGTTTTTTATCCTTCATTACGGGCATTGGGAGGAGTTCGAGTGGCCCAATAGCCACCAGTGGACGTTTCTCATTATCAATGGACTTATTGGGACTGTACTTAGTGAAGTGTTGTGGTTGTGGTGAGTAAAAATCATTTTACTATTCGTTTTCATCATTTTTTTATCGCCTTTTAGTCATCAGTCATTGGTATTTAATTCCACTGTTTATTTTTTTGCTCATTTTATCGTTTGTCTGATGGTTATTTGATTGTTTATCTATAGTGCCGAATTTTCATACTGCTGTGTAATTCACGCAGTTGAAGTTTCATACT